TTATATCATAATCCGCTAACTCGTTACTTGCGTAGGCAATCGCAAACTATCATCGACATCAAAGATGAGCTAGACAATGTCCTTATCAGGATTAAATTGGGTTAAAACAGAAGGAAATAAGCCAGTTAAGAGGCTTAATTGGCCACTTGAGAGGCGCCGTGGCTCCTTCCGTTTAGTACCTTCTATGAGCTGATATAGTAGAAATATCGACAATAAACAATTCGGCATTTTGGTAATGCATGTCCTTAAACAGCGATTACTGGAGGGATACAAACTAGAAATACATTGATTAATTCAAATCTGCTGCGAGGGGTCATTGACTGAGTGGTACGAGACCATACCATACCGGAGAACACATTGTCCCAATGAATGAAAAATGGATTTACGGCTCGAGGTTCAAAGGAAAGCGACATAAAACAACATAAAACTAATTTTGCGGGTTTAATGTGGGTTGAAAGCTAATTTGAGGTTATATTTACAGTGTGCAGTTAATTGATATCGAATGCCCTATTTTCTGGTTCAAATCGAGCACGATAACCAATTTACAGCATATGTATAAATAAAACAACAACAAAGTTACCATGTCAATAGCAGAAATTTTAAATTATGAATAACCAATAACCGGAACTTTAAATGAGTCCATGACAGTACACATCATAATTGAAATGTCATTTATCATAACACAAATGCGTGGTGGCCGATTGGTTGAAGTAAAGTGAACTCGTTTTCAAGTGAACTTTTTTCAACCAACATAAATGTAACAGTGTTTACACCATTTTCTTTCAGCACACATATTCACCAATATCTGTGGAACGGTTTGCAAAGTGTAAGTAACTCTGTTCTCTCACTGTCTTCATATCTCGTGTTTTGCTCTCGAAGCCAGTGACAGTGAAAATATATACTCATTCATTAATTTTAATTAGACAATCTCTTTTTCTGTAACTTGTAATTGGTGCCGAAAATGCATGTTTAGTAGCTTAAAGCGGGGGAAGTCGTCACTTGCGCATGCGTCAGGTGGCTATAGCGTGTCATTGTTTACAAACAAGCGTCTACTCATGACCTTTGTGTTTTTAGCGTGTATTGTTATTTTGGGACTCAATTCCCGCGCTGTGCGCAGGTGACGGCCTCCCGATTTAACGACAATGAATAAATCCACCAAAAACTATCAACTAATTATTCCCATACTACATTTCACCATTATCGGTAATTTAGACAATGTTGCTGATGCTGCTTTGACATTATTACAAACTAATTGCACTTCTCAAAATGTGACAGACTACCGCCATCTTAGCAGCAAATATATTCTTAATAAGTAGTACATGATTGAACATGACAGAATATATCAATTAAACTGTAACTACAACAAATGTGAACATTATAAGAAATTTACATTCTTGAGCATTGTGTGTATGGTACCCATTCTAACTTGAATGCATGTTTCATATTCGAATTTGATTACGTAGACAATGTCATCGTAACACACAGACGTCTTGGTGATTGTACTTTTGAGTTGACTTTCTTACGAGAGGACACGACACCGCCTGATTATGAACTCATTGTCCACTACGGAATCGATGATAGTGTGGCGAAACTGGAGTACCCAATAGATACTGGTTCAATAACGATTGGGCTAAATGAAATTAGCGCTGAAATTTTCTGGGACCCCCCGGAAGGGTTTGTACCTCCGTTTGACGTAGCCGGTGTAACTCAAGCATCAAACACTACCGGCGGCGAAGTAACACAACACACAATGGGTAAGCACAAACTATGTTTGTTTGTTTATATTTAAAAAAAATAAATACATTTTGTACAATCGCGTAACACAATTGACTGAGATCGAGACCACCGGACATTATATTTCACACATAAACAATTTGTGACTCACTCAAACCTGAAATCACCGTTTTGGTCTTGGAGTTCATTCTTTCACGGTTTAATGATCAACAGTTGTATGATCATTGGGTTATTTCTACCCCTGAATACAGAATAAAATGTTCAAGAAGGAAGCTACAGGATTCACAATTACATTAATATATATTGTCAATGTGAGCACCAATTAGAAACTTTAGTAATAAAAACATAATTAGTTTTACTTATATCAACTTCAATGTGAATAGCATTCAATTGAATAATTTTGAGTCTTCTAACGTGAATGGTATTATAAATCCTTTTTATCACATCTCCCTGTTGTTACGTATGATGTGATTTATTGAAAAAATAAGGGGTTAGAGAGATGTACGTTAGATACAGTTGTGTATGGTGGTTGTCTATTCTGTGATGCCACCATTAATCTCGAATCTTACTAGGCTAGTGCTGTATAATAAAAAAAATCAAATAATGTCTGAAGATTTGGGTAGGGGGGTATTTGAAGTCTTAATTATGTAACAAATACTAGCAGTTGAAAGTACTGGGTTTAATTTCTCATTTTTGCTCAGTAAACTAATAAACCTAATTCTTCAGTTCATAATATAGTCTATTTATCTACTATTATTGTCTAGTATGAAAAAAACAACAACAATTAATTGACAAATTCGACTCATAAGCTAATGTATTCAGACAGTTTTATCAATTATCAAATGTCATGCACTATAATCCATGTCTGTCATGTATGTCTGTTTAATTACCTTTGCTGTATATTTACCATTGTTTTTTTTATAATTTAATCTGATGATTTGGTCTTTAAATATATTGTTTACCTTGTTCATGTTAAAGATGATGGGCCATGTACACCTGCTTCAACAAGAGGGGACCCGCATCTACGAACATTTGATGGTCATGGTTACAGTTTCCAGGGTCTCTGTTGGTACACACTGGCCAAACATTGCACCGAAAATCCTGACTTTGAAATCTCGACTGAGTTTGCACCCAGACAATCAACTGGTACTGCGTTACGAACACGTGCTGTTAAAATGAATGTAACTGTAGGTGATGAAACAATTATCATGGATACCGACAATGACGTCACTGTAAGTTCATGAGATTGCTAATTGTCTATGGGATCCCATTTATATTGTTCTATTGTTTTTTTTCTACCATTATTCGGCCACCGATACATCCGGGAACATCAAGAATCAGTTCATGATGGTTCTGTCCCGTGTATGTATTTCACATTTGTATTTATTGAACATAAAAAAATCTTCTATGTATGTTCTCACTCAAAGTTACAAAAGACGACCTTGGTTCAAGTTTGCAGGAATAGTAAGCAACACAATTCTGAACGTCTGTATCTGAGAGAATATATTCCTGTTTCACCAAAGCTGTGTTTTCTTTTCGCCAACCACCACGTGGTGTCTCATATAGGTCAATGGCAAAGAATTATATGCAGCCAAGCTTGAAGGACTGCCCCGGAATGTGAATATTGTGGCCGATGACTCACGAATCAGCATCCGGGTTCCTATGGCCAACTTGGACATATTATGGGAAGGTCGGAAGCATTCATTCAGTGCGTCAATTTACCATCCTGATTACAAAGGCAAAATTTGTGGTCTCCTTGGCAACGCTGATGGCGATCCGTTGAATGATTTTGAAAAGAGTGATGGCTGGTTGACATACAATATTACTGAGTTTGGGGAGAGCTGGAACATTGCCGAGAAAAGGTAAACATTGTCGCAGATGATATCCAGGTAGTTCACATACAGTATAAATTACCCCCATGCAATTTCACGTGTTCCCGATAAGAGTTGTGTATAAAGCCCAATAAAAAACATGTGAAATCAACACATATACTTTACTAACGTAGCTTCATTTACACTTCGATTTCTTTTTTTCTTTCTTAATGTTAAATTATTTTCTTTCTTTTTTCTTTTTTTGAAGGTGTGATTATAAATAACTTCACTTGGAAGCTGCATTATGAAGAGCTACGTTGAACGTAGCCATTCCATAGAAATGCGCCACCAAGCAACAAATCACATGTTTGCATTTTTGAAAATTAGGGAACAACGGGATAACAGGGATAATATATGTATATAATGCATGCAACCTCATGTGATCGCAGTAATAAAATAATGAAATAGTAGAACTGGAAATTGTATCTCTGGATTATTTTTAAAATGAATTACAAAATAAATTTTCAAACGTTTGTTATCTAAAACCACAAAATATATCGTTTGGGGTTTTGAGATGATCAACAATTATTTAAAACAAATAATATGCTATAAACTACAGTCTTATCCCACACAAAAAACGCGAATTAAAAAAACAAACGAGCGCGTCCACTAGCGCCAGCAATTCATGGATTGTGTTCAATCTTGGCATAAAGAAAACATTTTGAAATATTAATTTTCTTCTCTAAGATTTGTATATATATGTTTTTCTAAAAGCTGCTTTTTTAATTATGAAATAGTCTTATTGGTTTTATCTGGATCAAGCTGTTTAAATTACCATAGCTCGCCACATGGTCAGATGGACGGGTGAAATTGAAACGCTATTTGGGAGCCCTAAACAACCTCGCGCTTAGCAAGATCTCGGGAAAGTTTATTTCATTTATATCAAATATAATAGATACTAGTTACTTGAATTTAATATATTTGAATTTAAATTATTTTTAGGGATTGTATTCATTACAGAAGTAGTGGTAACAATTAATGTATATATATATATATATATATATATAACCAGATTATAGTATATGGTCACTTATGATTATAAAGTACATTGCAGCCCAGTTATTTGCGTGTGCTGGAAAGTATGAATGCTAACGGATGTACAAGCAAATCACTCGGTTCGTTAGCAGAATTATGGACATACCAATTGAATGAATACCGTCGCCGTAAAGTGCTAGTAGTTGAACCAGTTATGCATTCTAGTTTTATGCAATGGAATTAATTAACCAGAGCAAATTAGAGGCTGGAACTTCTGAGGCAGTTTAGGGGATTCAAACTGAATTGCTGATTAATAATGGACATCGTTTCAATCGGCAATTACGGGATAAACAACGAACAACACAGTTGTTACTTGACTTCCTGGACAACATAGCTTGGTGCGTGCGATTATATTGGGAGATTGACTGATTGGACTCGGACTTTTCTCAAGACACCATTTCTCATTTTTCATAATTGACTACTTTGTTGACGCAGCGCCACCAGTAATGCGAGTTGTATATCCACCCACTTTCGGTTCTTAGATAATACTATCCCACGACTCTTTCTGAACCAGTGTTATGAACAAGTTATATCAGGACTGGTGACAACCTCATATTAACATGCGGTTGCTGTGGGTAACCTTGCTTGTGCTGACGGTATTATGAATTCGGCGAGAGGAATTATCCATGCGAAGAAGTGTGATCATATTTCACTGCTGGGGATTGCGGCATTTGAGACAGGCTGTGTGGCGTCGACATGACGTCACTTCCTGCCCAGTAGATAAATCTATGACTATTTTATCTGATCTGTTCTTCATGTGTTTGTACCAGTAATTTCCCTATTAGTTGTATCAAATGCTCATACTCGTCCCGAATATCATGCATAACACATTTTACATTACTACCCAACAACTCGGTATAATAACAAGTTTTCAAATAAACAAACAAACAATCGATTTACCTCACCTGCTGTTTACCGAAATAAAAGCAACGGTCGTGTGTTGCATATTGAAAAAACAAATGACAGATTAAATCAGATATAACCTTCTGACCTACTAAATGATGATAGACAATTAACAGTGCCATATTACATATAAATTGATCCACAACTATAAATATTTATTTTTCTGTACAACCAGCTATATATGTGGCCAAAAACCATGAATCTCCTACTTCCGTTTATATTGCACGAGACGATGTATTTGCAAATAAAATCATATTGACAGTCGTGGCACAAGGGACTAGGAGATTACTGACAAGATAGGCACAATGACATAATACATATGATATACACATAAGTAGACAACTGGTGACAACGGCACACGCCGGAACAGGTTATGCATATATCAGTCTTCATTAATAATTAAATCCGCACGATTTGGGCGTCTATTGTTAGGCAGGGTTAGTTTGATTGACAACAGCCAACCAGTCATACCCGTTGAATTCTAGATATACAACACATTGTCAACGCTGCGTTCTGATCCACGAGCAACTACCACAGCAGTAAAGTCTAATATTGCTTATTTTCTACTACGGCCAGAGTCGTGAAGATGCGTGTCTTGTCAGTGTTAGTGTTATCACTTATTGTGATATCCAGCGCCACTTCGAGACGAAAGCGAGTAAGTAATTCATATGGATATCTACACCACGCACACAGAAACTTTGTGACAATATTTGGCAATACCAGGTATTCAAGGCAATCGTTTCAGACAAAATTGAAATATCAATTGAACTTTAATATACAACTTGTTCCCCTGCATAAAATTGCAAATGTTTGATAGAAAACTTCATTTTGTAGAACACGTAATTTAATTTAATTTATTTTTACTAAGTAAGAAAGTTCAAACGTAGCAAGAAAAAATAGCAATTTACGTCATGTCGACATGTAATCGAGTCATTTACAGTCTCATCGTTAACATCAGCAAATTGACGATTTTTATACAACGATGTAGCAGTAATTTTAGCGAATTTTGTTTATCGGGCGATGTTATGTAGTACCGTGCTGTCGTTGGGAGGTACATTCTACTACGAATTCAATGTATGTTAACTATTGTATTTCTTTTTTTGCTAAGCAACTATCCGATACACTGTCCATTGAACGTTTTGCAAAATGTGAGTAAAGACTACATTATGTTTAATTATATGCATCATTGATTGAGTTGAACCATTTGAATGAAAAAAGTCAACATTTGTCCGCTTTCACACAAAAATGTCTACAAAATGTCAAAATCAGTAGATTATGGAAATCATACCTTTTTGGCTAAAAATTGACAAAGGAATTATAAAAAAAAATGCATATAAGTATGCGAATTTTAGAAGGGACAACATATGACGTTTATATGGTGAAACTGGTGTCTGTCGTTATGGAGGTCACGTGTGTGGCATATTATTCAAATCATTCCTTGCAGAAATTAATATTCATTAACATGACAAGCAAAATATTATGTAGGTGTATATTCAGCTTTTAGTAATATAACATGTTGATAAACTGATAAACTAAACTAAAAAAAACGGAAATTGCGACATGCTTAGTTGTCGTATACGCACTATCTTACATTTCAGCTGTATTGAAATGTATCGTTGCGCCACTTTAATTGAGATTTCGTAATCATGGCAGTCACTATCAGTAACCATACCACAGGGGAAACAAATCCAGAGAAATTACAATTTATTAAACAAATGTGAAACGTTAAATTACATTTAATCAATCAAGGAGCATTAATGTACACCTCTCTTTGGGTGATGTTTTTTGGGCTTATTGTTCACAATTCTCAACAGATAATGTTATCGTGAGCCATCAGCGACTTGGTGACTGTTCTTTTATTATCACGTTCATGAGAGCCGATATGACATCGGAAGTGTTGGCCAAGAATCTCACTCTTCACTACACCATCGATGATAGCCTAGCCATGCAAGAGTATCCTGTTGACACCGGCACGACCGTAATACAAGCAAATCAGCTCACCGAAACGCTTTACTGGGATCCACCAGAAGGGTTTGTCCCGCCATTCGACACAACCGGCGTCACGCAAATTTCTGGCACACAGGGTGGTACTATAATACAACACACGATGGGTAAGAATTGAAGTATACTGATGCAAAATAAGTTTTATTCATTTTCGAAATGCAATGACGGTCATTTTGTCTTTTATCATTGGTCACAATGGTGAGTTGTTACCCATGTCCCAAAATATCTCAAACGTTTTTGTTTCAGTAATATAAATTAAACTGTATGTTATTATTAGTTTCTATGGAAACGTTCTGGTGTATTATTTTTACAAATTTTGATTAATATTCCGATTTTCATTCTTTAACCATTTATTTATTTAACTACAGAAAATAAGTCTGACAGTCATTTCTTCAAGTCGTAATGATTTGCCTCTAATATGATACGATACGACATGTTGACGTCGACAATCAGAGTGTACTATGTACTCTTTTGCCGAACCCCACCGAGTTGACTTTGGACTCCCAGTTTACAGGCTTGAAATATTTCGTACATTTTTGTAGATATACTGCTATATTGTTTTTTTTTATCTTCTCGTGTTTTAAGATGACGGTCCGTGTACTCCAGCCAGTACCCGGGGAGACCCACATCTACGGTCATTTGATGGCCATGGCTTCAGTTTTCAAGGTCTCTGCTGGTATACGCTAGCCAAGCACTGCACCGATAATCCAGACTTCGAAATTACGACAGAGTTTGCACCACGAGAATCAACTGGCACCCAGATTAGAACACGTGCTGTTAGAATGAATATTACCGTCGGTGATGAAATGATTAGTATGGATACCGATAATCACGTCACTGTAAGTAGATTATTTCCTTTTTTTTGTTTCTCTTTCTTCCCTACCTCAATATATACTAACACCGGGATGCCATGGTAACACATAATACCAGTTGCTCGACGTTTCTTCCAGACAGCCAAATTACGAAAATGGATACTCTTTTTTAGACGATTCAGCGAAAATATATCAGAATATAAATGTTGTGGCTTGAACAATTTTTAAGTAATTTTTGAGGATTATACTTATAATTTGAATCACAAATGCTGACATTGTAGAGACCCCATCTGGCGCCACATGTGGATACAGCTTCCCTATTCAAGTACCCCTGGGAATGAAGCGAATTTGGGTTCATTGATCTAATATGTAGGAATAGCTTCTAAATGTAAGTTCTTGGAAGGTCATTTCATACATATGTGAACAATGTGAATATAAAGAAGCTTAAATTATCTGTTATTTAGGTCAATGGTAAAGCATATTATGTAGCGAAACTGGATGGTCTACCCCGAAACGTCGCCCTCACCGTCGTTGACTCTCGAGTCATTATCAGAATTCCTAAGGCCAACATGGACATATTATGGGAGGGGCGAAGACATTCGTTCAGTGCGTCTCTTTACCACCCTGATTACAAAGGTAATTTATGTGGTCTCCTTGGCAACGCTGATGGTGACCCGTTGAATGATTTCGAGAAGCGTGATGGCTGGTTGACTCAAGATATTAATGAGTTTGGTGAGAGCTGGCGCATTGAAGACAAAAGGTAGATATATATATATAATAGCGTGTCAGCTGCCTGTACGGCGCGAGTCTGGAGACGCGTGCAAAACACACGTTAACAAATAGTGCAGACGTGTTATTTATCGTGTACTATCTCGGCGGAAACGCTTTTTAATTCTACGCTATTCCATGCAATTACTATACAAGGCGTCAACTACTGTCGACACATACACTTCAATGTAGCCCTCTTGACGCACGAGTAAGGCAAGCGTCCATACATTCCCACACGTACATGAAACAGTTACGCTATTCCCTCCTCGGTGGTGTAGCACAACAATACATGGACAATTTTGGGATTTGTATTTACATATTATCAATATTAAAAACTTTGATATTCCATTAGTTTACTCATTTTAATTTCTCTTTCTCCACAGTTGTGATTATTAAAAGCGGTTACAGATCAGACCTCAACTTACTATTTTACTTTACTCATGGTTATTCGAGGATAATACGCGTAGTTGATGGTAGTAATATTTGAATCAATGCATATTGTAGATACATCGCACAATTCGCAATAAAGGTAGTTTATTTAATCAGGGAATAAGTGTATGAAGTAGTGTATTTACTAGTGTATTTAAGTATGGGTGTATTCATATAAGCAACAACTGTCTGTAAAAGTGTACTCGCAGTAGAAACAGAATGTTAATCGTTAGTCCTCTTTGAACAGTTTCTGATGGCCAATCTTAATTATGCTTTATAAGGGTTCCCAACTACAAGCAAAATATTCAAGCTCGCAAGTCACTGATTTTCATGAAAGAGCCAACAATTTTAAATGATTTTTCAGTGACTCCAAGGAGTGTATTAGCTGAACGAAACCCTCAAGACCACGTGACCATAATGCCATAATTTTCTCGACAAATTGTTTGTGCAACATTTTACATGTTTTATGTATTTCAACTGTTAGACCAAATGGGCAACAATTTGCTAAGATTAATTGATAACAAAAATTGACATCAGTATTCCAATGATTAACAGCAACGACGTGGCACTCCTTTTTAGCGCCAAATCTATCACAAAATGAAAAAAAATATTGTCAATTCAACTTGGTCCAACAAATATATAAAATCTGCATAATAAATTGTTGCGATGTTTGTTTCTTCAATTAAAAGATGAATCCTGGTAATGTCAAACTATTTCTATTTAAAAAAATAATAAAAATAACGCAATATATATAAGGTGAATGTATCCACGTGTCGATTACATGTGACAAATACCCTCAGTATATACAGGAGTTAGAAAGAAAAACAGCTTACCAAATGGATACCTCAATTCATAGTGGTGAAAGGGAATTGACAAGTCCATGAACACAAAACAAAGGACTAACACACAGACACTCCACAAACTACAATATACCGTTGACGAAAGTTGCCTCCGACATCTCATTAAGAGCGAGAAAACCACGAGACTTGTGTTTTCCCCTATAAACCCATGATTCGGAACAGTATACGCGATAATGAAGGAGAATGAAAAACTAGCAATACATATAGAAGCCAAGCAGTGATGCCATATAAATTTCTGGCCAGAAATATCCGATTAACACATTTGGTTGTGTACATAGTTATCAATTGTACTGTTGCACAATGCAGTATATTTTCAAAAGACATTTTGTTAAATTTATTCTGAATACCAACAATCAATCAACATGTATAGGGAACAATTGAAGTTCATGAAAACAATAGTACAAACGAGCATAGACAATAAAAACTGTGTTCTGACACAAACATTCAAAAGCATTAGCCTGCCCATCTATTCATTTATTTGTTCTAACATTTTCAACAGCTCTTTTCGCAGTTGATTCACTTATGCAAACTGCGGAGACTCGTTCCTCGGGTAAATCATTTGCAGTCTAAACATAGATTTGCATTCTTTCCATGGTGTCTGGAATAACTCCACAATAGTCAGTCCATCAACAATACCAACATCAGCAAGTGTGAAGGACAAGACTAGCACCATCAACAGTCAACTGAACCTTTCACTGAAATGGCAAGAATATAAAGTTTATCATTAATAACTTTGGGGAATATCACTTGAAAGTGATGACTACATAAATGATTTCATCTTGAAGAAGTTAGCATAGGGCCACTTGGTATTCTAGATTGTAATTCAGTGTATAAAATAATACAAACAAAATAGTGAGGAATAAACCTCGGCGGTACAAAATCAAAATCCTGATAAAAAAATTCATGAAGTTAAGTTACTTCCCATATACATACTATCCTATTAGGACTAACATTCCGAGATGAAAATCGCGGAGGTCAAAATCCTAGAGAAGAGGGCATATGCCTACTGGGCATTTTAGGTTGTACTGAGCAGCGTATAACAAGATACGAACAAAATACGAAAGAATAAAATTCCACAGTACAAAATCCTTGTAGGGGGGGGGGGCAAAAACCCAGAATACAAATTTTTTTAAGACGTTATTTTCCATATACATCCTGAGATTATACAACCAAATTGAAAAAAAAAACTCTGCAGTTTATGCGAATTATGTACCAAGGAATTCCCTCTCACATTCGCCTATGAAAGACAGCAAAGCCAGCACAACTCACTTTGACAAAACCAGCTAAAACACAGATGATCAGCTGACAGCAGCCATGCAAATGCTTGTCAATAGCACAGATGCAACAGACACAATGTTTAAGCTAGCATCATTCCAACTCGAGTACCAGCCATGGCCAACACAAGAATATACGTCGCATCGACCATCTAGCTCCTGAAGTACTTTGACCTTTTAAATTTGTTGTACACTGAAAGCGCCAAGCCACTCTGTATGGACGGACAACGTGGTGATCAAAAAATATGGTGCTGAACCAAAACTACATGCAACATTGGCGCAGATGGGCATTTCGAGCACACATAACATATTGTTACTATCCGAGGGAGTTCCTTTAAACCGTGTCACCACAAGAAACTACAAGACTACATTAAAATTAGCTTTTTATTCAGACTGGTACCGTGTTCTGAACTATGATTGAGAATATCGATTACTACAGGCTAGGTTTGCCTGGGATTAGTGATCTGCCTGACCTGAATATTATTTTAGTATCCCTGCTAGTTACAAGACTATGGCGTTTCAACTATAGCTCATCATAGTAAGGGTAATTATATACAACAACATATACAAATCCACACAGTTCCAGTGGTGTGGAAATCTGCCATAATTTTATCAGAGATAGTTGTTGCAAATATGCTAATGTGGGTATTGTTGCGGGCTGTGTACACTCACATACACACAGTCATTCAAAATGCGAAAATCAGGCTCACATATTTCAAACTCCGCGACGACCCCCCTTGACAGACTAATTGTATGACTGAACTTGAACCCCGACTATGTTTTGGTCTCTGACATTACTGATGGCTTTCATAATAATGTTTGTTTAAAAAATAATCCATATGAATAACTATTCCACATCTACAAATGCTGAGTTTTGTACCAAGGCTGAACGGATATGAGCCATGCTCAGTGTGTGTTTTCCTAGACAAAATATTGAGATGAAATTTGCCTGATCCATGACTGTAGTCAAGCATTTGGCGTACGTGTGAATGACCATGCTCCTCTTGGCAAATTCACGTTCCAAATATTGCAGTATGTCATACAGAGGGTAATATGAAACTGTTGCATGACTAAGGTTCATCTAAAATTTCATTCCGTTCTGTACTTGTCCATCCCATACTGAAACTACAGTTTTAAATGTACATTCGCTGATGACATTAGTGTCACCTACAGCATGGCACTTTGCTTAGCATATCTTGGCTTCAGCATAACCTGGAAAAAAGAAGAGGGCTCTATACAGCGCATTAGTGTTCTAGACATACTTACAGCGGAGCTATATGTCTCTACAATTAGAAAGCTTAGCAGGTCAGGTGGTTCGTGCATGTTGATATTTTGTCCAATGCTAATAAATTATTATGTTATCACGCGAAATGTACAGCGATATATATTTGTGCATGAACGCATGGCCATTTTTAAAGACAGGCCTATTTTCGCTGGACCCATTGCCAATATCAGATCTACATACGTCACCCCATGCTTCTGTAACCTACTTTCAAGGGAACTGGCAGTTCACAGTTTGTAATTAGTCACAGAATTCACAGAAAAGAACATGTTTATTTTTTTATTTATTTATTTTTACCAGAATGACCATTATTACAGAACAGTGCCACAATCAAGGCTATTATAAATACGGGCATTTAATTCATGGTGAACTATAGTTATTGATTTTCTTCCAGCATTGTTTGTCCTTGCAGTTTGCTTCTTGAGTTGCATCAAGGATATCCCCGATGTCATTATACGTCTCTGTCAACCTGTTCAGATGGCGTGATTGTAATTTTTATTTTTATGATTGTCCGATTATAAACCTACTCGCATCTTTTACGACTAGGTAAACTATATATGTTCGAAAAGGTGGATATTTGCATAATTGCACAGTTCCTGAAGTGGTGGGAGAGAAACTATGCTGGAACAACATGTTGCAGCTTACAGAGCAGAAACAAATTGCACAGAACACAAGCGCACTTCCACATCCCAAGGGCTATGCAGATTCTTCAATTCACTCGGCTACATCCACTCGAAACTGGTAAATATACTATCACAAGATGGAATTCCGTTGTTCAATTTGATATGTATCCAAACACAACTTAGTAACTATGCTCTAATCACGCTGAATGATGGGCGGTGGAGCACTGTCTATCTTGGGAAAAAGTCTCACATAGAAAAATAAGACATGCAACGACATACAAAGTGACAATTTCCGATGTCACCGTAACACAGTCATCACAGTTTGTATGTCCATTTCCCACAGATTGGCAAAATGTTCAATATACCCACATATTGTAAACAGAAAATTTAGAGTACGTACACATGTTGTTTAAGTACATGTATTACCGTTATTGTCTGTAATTGAACAAAGATTGATATCGGGCAACTAGTTTGGCTAACATATGTATTGGGTAAACTAACACTTGTATATACTATAATTGTAATATCTATATTAATAATACCAATCCGTATACCGTCGTTTTTACACTTAATCCGTGTAACTGGATTATCTGAGCGGAAGGGGTCAGAGTTCAAGGACTAGCTTCAATGTTGCCGCACTCAAGTAAACTTTAGAGACGTAAGCGTAAGATTCATAGCGCTGCATAACAATAGGTGGGTGTAAGTATTGCCCTTTGTTAGAATAGCTCCGGCTCCATGGCTGAGTTATACCAGGGCACGGAACACTGTAGTCAGGAACTGACTTAGGAAGATAGGCGATGAACATTTGTCGTTGCGATTTCATTCTCGTCGAGCGGGCGGCGGACGGGTGGGATGTAACCGGTGCTGGGAGCGCCATTGCTACTGGAGTGAGAGGTGTATATTAGCATTTAGCAATGTCGCTAAGCCTAGGCTTGTTTGTAACCACCACTAACTCCTACATCCACCCCAACACACCACAGCAACAATAATACGTCAGATCTGTTTTTTACTAATGTGTTTTTTTTATCTCAGAGTTTTCTTGATTGGTTGGTGCATCAAATTTGTTTTTCTTCTATCTTTACACA